CGGACGGTGGGGGCGGTGGGTGTGAGACAGACGGGGGCTTGTTTTTCTAGTCGCTCGCCGCGAATTTACGAAGGCTTCCAGGGAGAGGGTTTCCTTGATGTGCTGGAGGGAGGGAGGAGCAACACACGCCTGCCGGATCTCACAACTGCTGCAGCGGCGGCTTTTGTTTATTTGGGGTCACTTGCGATTTTTAAATGCACTACAAGTAAGGCGCTTTCCGTCTGAAGATCGAGGCCCGTCTCAGAGCCAGCTCCCGAGGAAGCACCGTTTTTTTTCGTGAGTGCGGTGACAACCGGCCTTTTCCTTTCCCCTCCTGTCCGCTCCTTTCCGTGGGATCTGAAGTTTCCAAGTATGTAGAGTGATACAGAGTTGCATGATTTCTGTGACGTCTTCAGGTCGCTGAAACTTAGCGGCTAAATCAGAGAATGCCTTTATTTCGGAAGCTCTCTCGCTCTAATCGCCTGCCGTGGATGACATGCCCACACTTTACTAACACGTGAGGAAACTGTTCCCTGCTCAGGTGGATTTTTGTCATCTTGTTTAGAATGACCACCTTAAATTGTACTGAGAGTAAGGTGAGCTGGTCTGAGAACCACTGTTTAGAAAGAATGGAGACAGAACCAGTATCAGCGGCCCCAGCAGTTTGCAGTTGGTATGAATATGTTTGCATCAGTGTTATTCTGATGTAGGTGCCAGGCCTGAGAATGCTGGACTGATGAAAGTGTTTGTCCTGTCCCCTCCCTCCCTCTTTGCCATTTGCAGTTATTTGATATTTCTGTGCAGGTGGTGTACCATTTGTGTAATACTGTAATTCTTAGGAAACTGTAACCAGGGTCATGAGATGATTTTCTGGAGGTGGGCGATGCTTGAGGTTCTGGGGGGATCTGGACAGGATCGAGTTTCTTCCAAGGGTAGAGATTCGTCCTTGATTTAGATTCTACCCGTCCAACCATAGGTATGTAACCAAATACATTTTTCCTTTTCCAGTATCTTTGGTTTTATAACCTTGAAGAGCTAATGACTTCTGTATTTTAGAGATATGACAGTTTTAGGCAATTAGGAATGTCATCCTCTTTAGGCCTCTTGGAATTTAAATTTCCCCCCAAGTTTATTAATGTATTAAGAGGAAGTCTCATTTTCCAACTACATTTATTACAATTTTTTGACTAAAAGCTAAACTTCAGTTTGTCATTTCAATGTCTAGCAATTCTGGTTCAAGATAAAATTTAATGGGCAGCTAGGTTGGAAAAAGAATAAACCGGAGTGTAATTAGGCGAGTGTCTTGAAGCTGCAGTAGCCTACCTAATCAAGGCCAAGTCGTGTGTGTCTAAAAGATCTCATCTGTGTAGTCTTACAAGGCTAATGGAGGCATCATTGAGGCTTTATAAATAATGTAAGTTGTGTATAATGTCGAGTCTCCAGAGACAGCAGAGAAAGCATCATTACCAGCCTTTTCAACCTGCTTGAGATCTTAAATTGATTTACAGCACTGAACTGGTGCAAAATGATACATCAGGATGACATGGGGTCAGCCTGTAAAAGTCTATGATGTCAGCCTGTTAGTTCAGTCATCATAATTAAACCGTATTACAGGGGCAGCTAAGCAGTAGTCTGGCGTTAGGCTTCAGATCCGGGAGGTTCATGCATTTGGTTTAGGGTGGAAAGGCCGAGATGGCCAGCTCTCTAAAAGAGGAAAAGAGCTATGAGTGTCTGAAAAATAATTGAAGATAAATGCAGAAATAGTCTGCATCGTATAAGTAGCTTTCTCTTTGGTGGCGGAGAAATAGATGCTTTGGCAGTGCTGGTAAGACCTTCGCAGCTCTGATGCACGTCCTGAATCATGCTTCCCATGAACTTGAATTTAACCTGGCCTTCGGGACCTTCCGGAATAGTAGAGTACCACATACTTCCTGTCTCTGATCCTTCTATTAACAGTTCGCACTGTATTGACATGTTATTTCTTTAGACATAGTTAACTAGTCGTCTGAAAACAAAGATAACCTGAACATTTGAATAATTCAGGAACAGAAAACCCCTGGTGTTTGCTTGAAAGTTCTGGCAACTCATATCTCATTTAAGCTTCCAAACGTCCCTAAGTGCTGTTCTTACCACATTTTACAGGTAAACTGAGGCCAGAGTAATTCAGGATAGTCCCTCAGGCTGCATAACTAACTACTCAGCGGTGAGGATTTATAATCATAGGTGGGTATGAATAAGGGAGTCTGACCCTAGAGCCTCATTTTTTTTTTTTTTGAGAAGTTTTTGCAATAGGGCTTGTGCGCTCACCAGAAAGACAGAGAGAGACAGGAAGCGAGAAATCACCCCCTAGGGGGACTGGCCATGCCACAGTGTCTTCTGCATTCTCCTCTCAGGATCTTGCGCATGCACCGCACATGCCCGGCATGAGTTTTAAGCCACTGGATCCAGGACTCGAACCATGGTCGACTACATGGGAGTCCAGCGACTAGCCATTACACCAACTGCTGGCCTCCCTAGAGCTTCGTTTTTTAAGTGTGTTTTTTAGTTTTTCATCTAGAGTACATCTAGTCACTGTTTTGGTGTGCTTTACTATGCCAGTATAGACGCGATACTGCTTTTCTTTTCTTTTTTTTTTTTTTTTTGAGAGATTTTCACTGTAGGGCACGTGCGCTCGCCAGACAGACAGAGAGAGACATAGAGACAGAAAGCGAGAAATCACCCCCCAGGGGGGATGGTCACACCGCAATCCCTTCTCCTCCATTCTCCTCTCGGGATCTTGGGCACGCACGCACACGCGCCTGGCGTGAGTTTTAAGCCACCGGGTCCGGGACACGAACCGTGGTCGACTACGTGGGAGTCCAGCGACATAGCCATTACGCCAACTGCTTGTTCCCGATACTGCTTTTCTTATTTAGGCCTTTAGATAAATTTGCCCTCTTAGGCTTTTCTGGGCTGTCTTCTCTTACTGTCCTCCTGTAAGCGTTTAAGAAAGAAAACACCGTTTTAATACTTAGACCTAAGTCGTACGTAATTTGAAGAGTAAGTGGTAAATGAAAGTGTGCATTTCAGAGCCACACTAGTTTGATCTCTGCCTTGGTGCACAACGTCCCCCATGTCCCTGTTGTGTTTTTCTGTATTATCACAAGCCGATGGTTGTTCTGGTCGTTCAGTGTATCCCTCTTACCAAATTCGCCTGCCTTCCCTGAGTGGTTTAACCCTGTCCCTTCAGATGAGGATAGTTCATTGCAAATTCCTCCAGGATTTAAAAATAGATTTAATGTGTACTTTTGTGCAGTGTCTTACAAATCGGTTCTTTCATCTTTTCTTGGTCAGGGCTGTTTGAGACTCCGATGACACTATGGATCCTATATCTTCTCCTCTCATCCTCCTGTCCAAAGACACCCCTATGCCCGGGTGAGACAGTGTACACTAAGTACTCGAACCACGTGATCTCTCAGGTCATGGCCATCCGCAGAACTGCCATGCCGAGCGCTTTCGTAAACATCGAGATTTGTAATTTCATTTACGGAGGTAGAGATATGTAGTGTTAAAAGTTGCTTTACAGATTTTCTAATCTGGTTGGTTCATATCAAGATGAACCATCTGAGAACCAGGGAAGATAACTTGTTTAAAGTCACTGGTGTAGTGAGAAGAGGGAAAGCCAGCACCTGGATCCCTCCTGGTGTTAAGTGGTGTTTATTTGTTTTTCCTACCCACTCACTCGATTCCAGAGACTTTGCCTGGAGCATATGCTGTGTGTTCTGTGTTCTGGGAAGGGGAGAAAAGAAGAATTTAGAGGGTGCGATACTGACTTTTTATACCTAACATTGTTTGAGCTAAGTTGGAATCAAGTCTGACAACTGTTAGAGGTGTATTTGATTCTTGCAGATTGAAATTGATTTTTTTTTTTCATTTTGGAATTGGAAAAGAAGAACCCTATGCTTAATTTAATCAATGGGACTTCATTAGAGAATGGGAGATCCAAGATTGCACCAAGTTCAGATAAAATCAGGCAGTTCTGACATGCAGGGAAATACATGGATCTCCCCCTTTGAGTCTCAAAAACAAACCACTTTCCGACCAGAAGCTACAGTTTGGGGCATTTAGGGAAGGAGTTAGGGCAGCATAGGGAGAGAGTTGGAAAGGTCTGGGGAGAAAATGATCAGTAGAATGTGAAAAGGTGGAAAGAATTGTCATTAAGTCATAAAATGATTTAAAGGTTGGTAAAATGTTCTGGTACCTCTACATGTGATTTCCCTTCCCCCCCCCCCCCCCCTTAAGACAGGATCACATTGTGTTCACAGTCCTGCCTCAGTCTTCCGAGTAGCTGGGACTATAGGCGTGTGCCACCACTCCTGTCTCTTTCAGATAGGGTCTCACTGTATTGCCCGTTCCAGCCACAAGCTCATGGTCCTCCTGCCTCAGACTTGCAGGCTGCGGAGATTACAGGCCTGTGTCTCCATGCCTGGCCATTTAACTTGGACCAGGAATAGAACCAGGCCTCCCATCTGGGTCTAACCTGTGGGCCACGGTGTCTTGGCAGCGCACACCACTGTGACTGGGCCTGGTTTTACTTTTTGGTCCCAAGATTGCAGGGTGTGCTTTGATAACAAATAAGATCATCCCTTTTTGCCCCAAACACTGACATTTCCTGTTTCTCTATATTCTTTTTTCCTCCTGTTCTCTGGTAGTACAACTGTTCAGTCTAAATTTAGTGATCAGTCATTTGATTTGCGGCAGAAATCCCTAAAGTATTTTTTATGTGTACTCTGCCATAGTTTCTTTTAAAAAGAAAAGAAAAAAGGCAAAGTGAAGTAGCACAAGTGTAATTAAAATCTAAATTAAAATACTCATTTTGGTGTGCAGTAAGATAGTATCGGTTTTAGAGATGCACAGTGTGTTCTAAAGGTAAAAGAGTAACGTGTGCTATTGTTGCTGGCTGACTTGCAGAGATGGGCAGATTCTCTAGAACATTCATTTGCATAAGGGAAGGCATCTCCCAGGCAGGAAACGCCTAAACTTTCATAAACTGTTCAACTCCGGTTACCACATCAATTTTAGAAAGGTGCTGACAACCACAATATTCGAACATTGTATCATCTGTAATTTTTATTGTAAGCTAAAATTCAGAACTTCAGAGACTCTTTTGAAACTATAACATCACACGTTTCTTTTTTAAAGAATTATTTTATCTAACTTATTTATTTATTTATTTTATTTTGACCAGACAGAGACAGAGAAAAAGAAAGTGAGAGGGCAAAGCCACCAGGTCTAGGACTCAAACCGTGGTGGGCCAT